TTTTAACTTTCAGTGACAGTTTAAAAAAAAAAAATCGTCCCAAAAAAAAAACACTAATTTTTAGTTTTATAGACAATTTATAAAAATCATGACAAAAAAATCGGTAAGTGTCAATTTTTAGCAACATATGCAAAAAAAATCATCACAAAAAATTATTTTTAGCGATGATTTTACTAGGACTTATTTTCAATAGAACTTAATGGAAATTAAGTCAAACTATTAGGACCTAGTGATAATTTTTCATAAATCTAACTTATCTACGAATCTTATCAGTTATGTTTGGATCTTAAATTTACTTACAAATTATTTTTATAAAATATTTTGCTAAATTCTTCTGTTTTCTTCTTTTTCTTTTTCTCTTTTTTGATTTTTTTTAATTTTAAATCAGCCAATTTTTTGATAACTTGGCTCATCGGTCTGATTAATTTGGGACCAATCCCACCGTTCATTAGTAGGGATCCAATTAATGTCGAAATAAAACCCGTATGAATTGACCTTAAAAAATTATTCACACTTAAAAGATTTCAAATCTACATTGAAGGAGTACATCCAAACCCTAGGCCAACCCCTTGGATTTTTTATTTATTTATTTTTTTTTTCCAGCTAGTTAATGGTATTTGGTGTTGAGTAGTTGATGTGCAACTTTTTATAACATCAACAAATACAAATATATAAAAAGGTTTCTGCATCATTTTTTAAATCCTTGGAAAAGTGAAAAATGGTTGGTAGCAAAGTCTTCCCAGCATTTTTTAAAAAATAAGTCTATGAACCCCATTTTAATTATTGTAAATTTACTTTAAATGTGAGTGTGTGGTTGAAATTAAATTTATGTAATGTACGATCTTGTGTAAAATAATCTGAATCATAAAATGATAATTATGAATAATTTCTGAATTTAAATCTGAATTTATAATATTATTATTTTTTAAAAACTGCTGCAAGAAGACTTCCCATCACTCTTTAAATTGAGTAAAAATTCTTGGCATTTTAAAAACTCAAAAAAAAAAAAAGAAAAAGGGTTCAGTAGCAAGATTCAGGTGCCAGAAAAAGTTCGCCAATGTTTATTTATTATGTTTTTATGTCACTTGAAAAACTCATGTGTCTTAAAAAAAAATATTTGACAAATTTTGTTGCACGGTCCTAACATGGGAATTTGGATGGTAATGGTTGTTGTTAGAAACAGGAAAGATGGATGGGGAGATTATGTTTGGTTGGAGGATTTGAGAAGGGATTTTGAAAGAGAAATGAAAAAGATGTGTGAAATTAAGGAAAACGTAAGTATATTTTATTCACGTTTCACCTTTCTAAATCCCCCGGCCAAATTTAGCGTAAAGAAACCAATAATTCTCATGATCCCTGGGCCCACGGTCATATTCACAATTGATATGATGATGTTTCTTCATCCTAATCTTGTTGCTTGGTGTGGTATTGAGCCCTTTGTGGTTCACTACTACTCTTTTCATATAATTGTAAGATGGTATTTTGTAAAACCATGATGGGCTATTATTATGAACAAAATTCAACTAAAGGATTTCCAAGGCTCTTGTTTTTCATTTGTTTGACCCCATTCTTTGGGCTAGGTTTTGTATTTCCTTTCCCTGTTTGGTTTCATGGAAAATATTTGTAACAATATAGTAATAAAATGTAAAGTAAATGGTGGGAGAAATTCTTAATTTTAGATGATACTTTTATCTTTTTCTTGTCTCCTTGATTATTACTGAGCATATTTAAATGCAGAATTTTAGTTTTAAAAATTATTTAAGTAAGATTGAAATGGTGAAGGAAATTTTTTTATTTAATTATTTTTCCTTTTCCTTATCTTGTATCATTTATAAGAATAAAAAAGAAACTAAGTAAATAAATTCAACTTTAAACAGAGGCTTCTAGTTTTAGGGGTTTTCCCACATAGATCTTAATAATAGAAACTTATTTTGGCCATGTGCTCATCCAATAATATTGTCTTATTTCTTAATTATTTTCTTATTTGTAAAGCCACGTAGGCTCCTGTTATTGGTTAATTATATCGTTAATGTGAAATTCCTATAACACATAATAATTCCTCGTTAGTGTAGGGTACTCTTAATAATAGAAACTTATTTTGGAATTTACACCAATAAGAGTACCCTACACTAACGAGGAATTATTATGTGTTATAGGAATTTCACATTAACGATATAATTAACCAATAACAGGAGCCTACGTGGCTTTACAAATAAGAAAATAATTAAGAAATAAGACGATATTATTGGATGAGCACATGGCCATGTGATCGTCCTAACTCATAGGATAATTCCTATTAACTCTAAATGCCGTTTTGTCATTAGTAAAGGGGGAGTGGGGCCTACAATTTTGTGTTGAGTCATAAGGAATAACATGGGCATGGTGTTTAGTGAAAGGTGAGGGGAAATAATACAGAAATAAGATTACATTATTGGATGAACACACAGCCATGTGATCGTTCTGACCTATAGAATAATTTCTATAGGTCAAGTGGTATGGTGGACCACCAAATAAATTTTCCTCATGACACACATAAAATGTACTTGTAGGCACATATGGATATATCGCACCTAGTAACTTTAATAAATTCATAAAAATGATATTAGTTCTCTTTATCAGTGAGATCTAATCATTTTATTTGGGATTTTTTAATTCGAATTGGCATACACAATCGCAGTGATAGAAAAATGTGATGTGTATGGTTTTGGAATATTGGCACTTGATCACATACAGGAGAAACTATTTCAAGCCTAAAATCATTGGTTGATCAAAGATTAGAACTTGAAGATGTGTTATATCATCGTCTTTTGCCTCCTTCTGGTCAAAAAATTGAAGATGAACTGAATTCCATTGTGAAGCTAGCACTGTGGTGTGGTGCTTATGTGTTGATCTACAATCGCGACCTATCATGATTGCTGCATCTCAAGTGCTTGAAAAAAGGTTGGTGATCACTGTGTGCTGAGCAACAACAATCAAGCTTGGGCACAGTAAATTTTAAATTTGAATAATTAAAAATGTGTAATTTTGTAATATGTGATAATTGTATGTTTGAACTATGTTGATTATTTACTTTTTATCTTATGCTTTGAGAGGAATTATTTTTCAATAAAATTTTGGATAATAAAGGAATAAATTTATAGATCTATTAAAATCAATTCTGCAAATGGTCTTTAATCAAGGAGATTTTTTTCACTTTTTAAAATTTTAATTTCATTTTATAAAAAAATTTAATCAAGGAATTAATTAAGGGAAAATTGTGTTTTAATGGCAACACTTCAAAAAGTGAGAGTTGTGTGACAATTTTCATTTGTATCCGGTAAAGATCGTTTTGAATTTCTATAAAAATTATGATTATTTTAAATTACTTCTAATTACCCAATAATAAAGTTGGTGGATCCACACTAATCTCTATCATTCCCCTTCAAATTGAACTACTTTCTCTGTTTTAGTTTAAAATCAGAGTTGTTTTTAGAAAACATAATTTACTTTCGACAATGCTACGTAGCGCAAATTTTGTAGCTCAAAAGTGGCTCAAATGGCCAAAACGACGTCGTTTTGAGTACAGAACAACATAAAAATGACCAAAACGACGTCGTTTTGGCCATTTGAGCCACTTTTGAGCCACAAAATTTGAGTTACGAGACATTTTTCATTTACTTTAAAGGTAAAAATCCAAAGTCTTCAAATGATATTTTTGAAGTGGTTAATTATGAAATTGATAGTGACAAGTGGTTAAGTATTCTCAAGGCTCTTCGTCCCCTATATTAAAATATTCATAATTATTATATTATTGAAAATTTTAAAATGTAATAATCTTACAATATAATCAATGAATGTAAATGTTACAACGGGCCTAACAGGCCTTGAAACATTTTATCCTTCTTCTTCTTTCTTCCATTATTGAAATTCAGCTCCAAGTGGGAGTTGTCTTTTGTTTTTGGGACTTTTTTCTGCACTGATAAGTCCAAGTCCACGTCCACCCATGGCCAGTTGGCATGCTTGTGGCCCAAACGCACACTATAAGTTGAAAATTTTGATTTTTTTTGCTCTGAAACGCGTTAAATTGACAGAAAACGAAAGGCAACTACACTTGGGTTGGGGGTAGGGTTGCTTGAGGATCGGTTTTATGCGGTTTGCGGTTTGATTTTGACCTGCCCGCATTTATGCGGTCTGGAAAAAAGTCAACCCACAACCGTCCGCAGTGCGGTTTGCGGTTTGTGCAGATAGGATTTACAGATGTGCGGACGCTTATGGGCGGTTTGCGGTTCACACTTTTTTCTTTAAAAATTAATTTTGGAGTTTTTTTTCCCATAGAATTTAGGCATCAGATTCATTTTATATATTTGTGATCATTTGACAATAATTTTCTAATGAGTTTACAAATAAAAATTGACTATCAATGCATTAAATGAAAATATCCAAAACAAAAAGACCCTACACTAACATTTTTGCCATAAAAAAAATGTATATCAATGCATTAAAAAATGTATATCAATGCATTAAAGGTTGTACTCAATTAGAATTACCAGTTCAGTAATCAATAATCAAACTAGAAGTTCTATCGACCAGAAGGAAAATTTTATTAGGAAAAAGTGGATGAGTTACCAATGAAAATCATATAAGAAACCAAGTTTAGGACTTGATAATTCTACAGCATTAAGAAAGTTGAGAAATACTTAAAAATAAGGATCCTAGTGTCATAGAGAACATAATGGTGCTCCTGTTAAAGTTACAAAGTTGGTATATAAAAAATAATAATAATTAAAGTGCGGGTGATTTTTGCGGGTTGCAGATTTAACTCGTGACCCGCTCGCAACATGCAAATTTGTCATATTTCAAACCGCATCCGCCTACATTGTGTTTGTGAAACCGCCCATTTATATGCAGGTTGGGCTATTTAGACAGTTTGAGCAGTTCGAATAAACCGTTACCCACCCTTAATTGGGGGTTATATAAACTGGGGGTGAAACACAATTCTGAATCATCAAAAACAAAGAAAAGAAAAATGTATTTGAGGAAGTTGGTTGTTTTTTTGTAATGTTCACTTGATTTCAATCCTTTTTTTAGCTTTTCAAGTGGCTGCAAGGGAATTACTTGAGCATTCCACCACTGTTGTCACAGGTAAATTTGACTGTCCTTGAATCTTAAATGTTATGTTTGGATTTTAAATTTATTTTCTTTTCTTTTCTACTTTATTTTTTTATAAGTTTTTTTTTAAATAATTTTTTTTTCGATAACTTTAGTATTCATCATATTGACCGATTAATTTGGAGAACCAATTCTACCGTCTACTAGCAGGGACCTAATTAAAACCAGATGATGTTATGGTATATTTGGATGTACTATACATCAGTTATGAGGATATATGATTTTATATCATAACTAATATCATGTAAATCATAACCATTATCATATTAACTCATAGCTTAGTTATATTAATTATTCATACATACCATATTATCTCATAACTACCACATAACTAAATTATTTTAATAATTTAATTTTGAATTGGCAACCGATGTAACCGGTTACCGAAAAGAGGGCAAAGGAAATCAGAGAAGTCTAGGGGTCCCAACATCACATATCTTATAACCACTAGTCACATATCTCATAACCAACACATTTTTTTCATAACCAACATCACATATCTCATAACTAACACTATTTTGCTTATAACCACACCACTTTGTTGATAACCAATGTCACATATCGCATAACTATTCACCACTTATCTTATAACTAATACCCACATGAATCATAACCACATCTCATAACCAACTTCTTTTGAGTCATAACCAACATCACATATCTCATAACCACTAATTATATATCTCATAACTAACAACCCTTTTGTTCATAACTACACCACTTTGATCATAACCAATATCTCATATCTCATAACCACTAACACATATAGCATAACCAAATACCCTTTGACACCACTTTGCTCATAACCAAAATTATATATTTTATAATCACTAATCAAATATCTCATAACTGTTACCCACATATCTTATAACTAACATCACATATATCATAACTACTAATCACATATCTCATAACTATACCACGTTAATCATAACCAACATTACATGTCTCATAACCACTAATCACATATCTCATAACCAAACACCCTTTGACTTATAACTACATTACTCTGCTCATAACCAAAATCACATATCTAATAATCACTAATCATATATCTCATAACCTTTACTCACTTATGTCATAACTACATCTCATAACCAACACCATTTTCCTCATAACCAACATCACATATATCATAACCACCAATCACATATCTCGTAACCATTACTCACATATAGGGGTGTAAATTTGGCCCATAAGCTCGCGACACACCCCAAATCCAGAAATTACTCTCTCTCTCTCTCTCTCTCTTGTTTGGGCTTAAGAAAGGGTCTAGGGATTTGTCAGAAAAAATTAATAGGGAATTTTGATTTTGACAAAATTTGGATGTTTGTTCCAAATTTTTGGAGAACATGGGGCCGAAATAATGTAATAATCATTATAAAAAAACAAAATTAAAACATTTATGAATAGAGTATTATAATAAAATAAATTATTAATTTATAATTTTGTCAATTATACTTAATTTTTTTTTATTTTTAATATAAATCCTTCATTTATTTTTATTAAGTAAAATTAATAAAAAAAGATTATTTTACTCATCAACTACAAAATGGATAATCACACCATTAATTGGTGTAATAAAAATATTTAAAATTTTAAAAATTACAAATATTACAAAGTTTTGTAATATAAAACACAAAATACATAACGCCATCACTAATTGGCTTAACAAAATTGTTTAAAATTATAGAAAATCATAAATATCGTAACTAATTCCCAAAATTTCGTAACATTAACCAAAATTATGTAACTATCCACTAATTGGTATAACAAAAACATTTAAAAAATTTAAAAATCACAAATATCATAACCAACTCACAAAATTTAATAGCATCAACTACAAAATGCGTAACTACACCACTAATTGCCATAATAAAAATAATCAAAATTTTTACAAATCACAAATGTCATAACCAATCCAAAAAATTTCATGACATCAGTCACAAAATGCATAACAAGACAACTAATTGATGTAGCAAAAATATCCAAACTTTTTATAAATCACAAATATTGTAATCAAGCAACAAAGTTCATAACAATTATCATAAAATGACTAAATAAATCACTAAAAATCTTAAAATCACCAATCGGAATTTCTCATAATACAGAGAAAACAAAATGTAATGACAATCATTAAATAATTTAATCAACGACTTACAGCCATGGAACATAAAATGAGAGTTAAGGAAGATTAGCTAGTAGACCGAGAGGAAAGGGAATATGAGAAAGAGAGACTGAATGGGTTTATCGCCTGTGAAAATGACGTCAAAGGTGCTGTCGTTTTTTTATAAGGAACATCGAAGATATCTACAATGACAGTAAAGAATGAGAGATATGCTTGAGGGATGAAGAGGACTGAGATAGCAGAACAGAACAACAGAATGTGCAATATTCATTTTTCAACATTTCTATAACACATGTACAAATTGATGATAACAAAACCTTTCAAATCATAACTACGGCCAAAGGTTTGTGTATGTATGACATATTAATATGAAAGAGCTAGAGTTTCGAGATAGATGCATTTACTAGATAGAGAAATATCACCAGAATAAATAGTGTTAAAATAGACAAAGAGAGTAGTGACGAGTTCAAGGATCTATTGTAGAGATACAGGAGTAGAGAGAGGAAGAATCTAGTGAGGAAGAACTATCAACAATGGTCATTCGATAATTTGAGCGAAATAGAGAAGTCTGAGTAAGAAATAGATAGAGCTCAGGCACAACTAAGACAAATCAAGGGAAAGAAAATAGAGTAGAGAAAAAAATGAAGAAAAGTTTGAGGAAAAAATTTAGGAGAAAATTTATTAGTAGAACAAAATAAAATCACGTCATAGACAAGTTTTTTCAACATATTTTTTTATTAAAATTTAGTTAAATTATACATACATATATATATAAGTGTATATAGATATTTTTAAAAAGTATATAATTTTTATTAAAATTATATTTAATGAAGATACCATAACTAAAAATAAATTCAAAATAGAGATAGGTGATCAATTGCAATTGTCACTTAGGGATGACACTAATTGATTGAGAGAGTTGAGAGTTCAGAGATGATGAGAGTTTGAGAGACAGATTTGTTTGTGAGAAATAAAATGAGAGATGGGTGGTATTTATAAGACTTAGGAGGAAGGGGTTAATTTATATATATAAAAATAATAAAATAATAAAATTGGTTGTTGGTGGAATTAACGGTTATGTGATTGTTTCAAATTTTTTTTTTTTTAATTTTTGACCGTTTTATTAACAAGGGGTAAGGAGTCGTTGGGGTTGGGTCGGCCCAGATGGGGAAAAAAAAACTGAGTCAAGCTCACGAGATGGATCACACTCCATAACACACCAGAGTTGGGGCGAGCTCTAGAACACATAGCCCAGAGTCTTAGGTTGGGCTTAGGCTTAGGCTTAGGCTCAGACCTAGTTGGGCCCACCCAGGGTGCAACTGGACTTGGGGTGTGCCGCGAGCTCATGGGCCAAATTTACATCCCTATATGTAGGTAGTGGTTATGAGATATGTGATTAGTGGTTATAATATATGTGATGTTGGTTATGAGGCAAATGGTATTAGTTATGAGATATGGTTATGACATAAATGGGTAAAGGTTATAAGATATATAATTAGTGATTATTAGATATGTGATTTTAGTTATGAGCAGAGTGATGTGGTTATAAGTCAAAGGGTGTTTGGTTATGAGATATGTGATTAGTGGTTATGAGATATATAATGTTGGTTATGATCAAAGTGGTGTAGTTATGAGATATGTGATTAATTGTTATGATATATGTGATGTTGGTTATGAGATATGTGGGTAACAATTATGAGATATTTGATTAGTGATTATAAAATATGTGATTTTCTTTATGAGCAAAGTGGTGTCAAAGGGTATTTGGTTATGCTATATATGTGTTAGTGGTTATGAGATATGAGATATTGGTTATGATCAAAGTGGTATGGTTATGAGCAAAAGGGTTGTTAGTTATGAGATATGTGACTAGTGGTTATGAGATATGTGATGTTGGTTATGACTCAAAGGGGTTGGTTATGAAATGTGGTTATGGCTCAAAGGGGTTGGTTATGAAATGTGGTTATGATTCATGTAGGTAATAGTTATGAGATATGTGTTCAATAGTTATGAGATATGTGATATTGATTATGATCAAAGTGGTATAGTTATGAGCAAAATGGTGTTAATTATGAGATATGTGATTAGTGGTTATGAGATATGTTACATTGATTATGAAAAAAAGGTGTCGGTTATAAGATATGTGACTAGTGGTTATGAGATATGTGATCTTGGTTATGACTCAAAGGAGTTGGTTATAAGATATGATTATGAGATATGTGATTATGGTTATGAAATTTGTGATATTAGTTATAAATAAAATGGTGTTGGTTATGAGATGTGGTTATGAAATATGTGATATTAGTTATGAATAAAATGGTATTGGTTATGAGATGTGGTTATGACTAAGTTATGATTAATTTGATTATAGTTATGAAGAAATATGATTTTTGGTCATAACTATAAAAAGTGACTTGTATAGCATGTCACTTTTAATGATGTGGCTCAATTTTAGCCTTTAATTTTTTATATACTGTACATTTTTTAACAAAATATACTATAGACTTTCCCATGAAAATCAGGACATAGTTCCATATAGACTAACCTTAAGAAATTATTTATATGTAAGAGATTTCAAATTTAAAACCTTGGAGGGACAGGCCAAACCTATTCATTATTATTTTTTTCTCCAGCTAGTTAATGGCATAGAGTTGAATATTTGATGGGCAACTTTTTATAACATCAAGAAATACAAAAGAACTGTAAAAAGGTTTCGGCATCATTTTTTAAAGGGGAAATTGTTTGTCACAGTGTAGTTAGCAGAAAATATTTTCAAATTAATGATTCTTTATAAATATTAATATGTAATATTATATATTTTTTATCATTTTATAATTAAAATTTGAAAATATCATGAACGAGTAATTTTCCTTTTTTTTTTTTTTTTATAATTAAAATGTGAAAATATCATGAACGAGTAATTTTCCTTTTCTTTTTTTTTTTTAAATCCTTAAAAAAGTGAAAAAATGGGTAGCAGAAAAAGTCTTCCCAGCATTTTTTGAAAAATGGTGCAGGAAGAGTTCCCATCACTCTTTTAACTCGAGTGGTGTTTTAGAAACTCAAAAAATCAGTAGCATGATTCGGCAGGAGTTTGCCAATGTTTATTTATTATATTTTTATTCATTATCTGATATGGCGTATTGTAAACTTTTACGTCACTTGAAAAACTCGAGTGTCGCTTATATAAATATAAAAAATAAAAAGTATAGAATAAAATTTTTGACAATTTTTTTTGCGAAGTCCTAACATGGGAATTTGGATGGCAATGGTTGTTGTTGGAAACAGGTAAGATGGATAGGGAGTTCAAACAAACCAATAATGCTGATAATCCCTGGGGCCACAGTTATATTCACAGTTGAAGATGATGTTTCTTCATCCTAATCTTACTGTTTGGTGTGGTATTGAGCCCTTTGTGGCTCACTACTACTCTTTTCAAATAATTGTAAGATGGTACTTTGTAAAATCAAGATGGGTTATTATTATGAATAAAATTCAACTCAAGGGTTTCCAAGGCTCTTGTTTTTAATTTGTTTGTCCCCATCCTTTGGGCTAGGTTTTGTGTTTCCTTTCCCTGTTTGGTTTCATGGAAAATATTTGTAACAATATAATAATAAAATATAAAGTAAATGGTGGGAGAAATTCTGAATTTTAGTTTTAAAATTATTTAAGTAAGAATGAAATGGTGAAGGATTTTTTTTTTTTTTTCATTTTCTTTTATCATTTCTCATAATAAAAAAGAAAGGACAAATTACGACAGTAGTCCATATATTTTGATTTGTGTGTCATTTTAGTTCCTACAATTTCAATTAGTTCGATTTTGACATTGAATTTATAATTTTGTCTCAATTTGATCCAATTAATTCCTACACTTAGCATTTTTTTTAACGAAAAATATGTGCATGCCATATTTTTAAGGGCATGTTATAAACTTATCAAACTCAGTTTGTTAACCTCAATTAATTTAATAATAATTTTTCTTAAAATACACTAATGATATTATCAATTAAACCAAAATGAAGCAAAATTTAAAATTAAGGGTCAAAGTCAAGTCAATTGAAAGTGTAAGAAACAAAAAGACATAAGGGATAAAATATGGGGATCACCAGTATTATTTGTCCAAAAGGAAACTAAATAAATTCAACTTTAAAAATAGATTTTTAGTTTTAGAGGATTTCTGACATAGATCTTAATAATAGAAATTTATTTTGAAAAAATTCAGAATAAAAGTACCCTACACTAATGAGGAATTATCATGTATTTTAGAAATTTTTCGTTGGTGGTATATCTAACCAATAAAAGAAAATTAAAAAATTACATGATTGCAGAATAAGACGATATTATTAGATGGGCATAAGGCCTCGTCTGGACCATTGGATAATTTCTACTAATTCTTGTAGTCAAGTTGACTTTAGTAGAGGGGAGGGAGCCGCAATTTTGTATCGAGGCATAGGAAACAACAGGGATGGTGTTTGGCGATGGGGACTGAAAGGGAATAAAAATAATTACAAGAATTATGTGGGTTTAGATATTATCATATGGCATGGTTATAAATTATTATGTGTATGACAGTTATTAAACATTACATTAGTGTTTTATGTTATGCAAAATTTATTAGTACATGAAATCTTGTTGATATAGAAGTCCTGAACAACCGGAGATTGTTTGAAGATTGTTTGGATTGTTTGAAGATTGTTTGGGATAGGACTTCTGGAACATTCAAATTACTTGAGAGATAAGTCATTGGATATTATAAATAGGCAACACCCTTATGAGTTGAGGTACGCAATTTCTCTCTATGAATTAGTCCATTAAATATGTAAATCAAAACACAAAATATGCAGCGGAATAAAATGTTTAGATCATACCTCTTTTGATCTAAAACCTCGTGGATAAATCACGTGCTTCCAGAATCTAATCCATCAATCCCAGCAGTGGGGTGATATTACAATGGTGAATATCACCCACACAAACCACAGTGCAAATGACTTGATCGTTGTTTCTTGGGAGAGAGTAAGTTTATGGGTAGAAACAAAACCTACGTTGTTTTTTCTCTTGGTTACCCATAACCATATATCAGATATATATTATATTATTATTATTTATCCATATCAGTTAAAACTGATAATATCTATATCCTGAGTGGTTATCCTAAATAGGTTTGAATTTAATTCAAAACCTATTTGGATAAGATCCAAATTATGTTCAAATGGTCATGCCACATGGGCGCCCATTACTAACATCTCCCACTCGCACATGAGTTGGCATGACACTGCCACATCTCTGTCTCAATCTCCAAAAAATAAACAATCTCATACTAGCCACTGCACCGTGCGACTGCTGAGAACACCTGCATGTGGGAGCTCTATACTAGAAACTCAAAATGAGCCAGCATAGAGACATCAACCCAAAAAGAACAGAAAAACATTAGTGGCCGACAGGGCACCTTTTCTGTACGGCAAGCCACCATTAGTGGGCGGCCGGCCACCATTTCTGGCCTGCCAGCCACCTTTTTCAGCCAAGCAGTACCACTTTCTTCACAAAGAAGAGC